AAGGGATTGTGGCGCAGCCATCCAATTGCAGGTGATTTCTCGCTTTCTGTCTTTCTTTCTCTCTCTGTCTTTCTGGTGAGTGCACACACCCTATAGTAAAAACCTCTCAAAAAAAAAAAAAAAACGAATAAAAGAAATGCCATCAACGTGAAATGCACATAGACAAAGTGGTTTCACTGATTTGTCTCCTCTGAAACTGGACCACCTGGAGATGTCTGGTATGTTTGGTTCCAATGTTCTCTAGGGTATGAAGACAGACTCATTTCTTTGAGGTAGGATGGTGTTTCTCCTCCCCAACTGCCTTCCTGGCCTTGTCATGTTGAGGCTGAGGATGACAGAGGCGGTCTTTGGTAATGTCACCCGAAGTGGAGGGGCAGACTGAGCCTGTCACTACAGCAACACAAAGGAGTTGATTACCTGTCTCTTCACCCATCACTCAACAGATGGTTTTTGAGCACTCGGTATTTTTGTTAGGTGCTATCTTAGGTGTCAAAACCCTAGTGATGATCCCAGCCTCTGTGGTGTGGTAGGTACACACTGGACTGCGAAGCTGGAAGCCACATACTGACTGTGGGTTGAGACCCTGGCCCAGTCTTCCTGAAAACATACCAAATGTACATGCATCCAGGATCCCTTCAGGCTGGAGGACTAGAGGAAGGGGACTGTGGAGTCACTAAGCCCTGAGGACGGTGTCTCTCTCTTTTGTACAAATGTTCTATTACGAATTAACCAAAAAAGAAAAAAGAGTACTCAGTTATGAGTGAGATAAAGCAGTTGCTCTTGTGGAGCATCTTTTCTAGTATAGAAAATATACAGCAGGTGCCAGCAGGTAGCATAGTGGTTAAGGTGCTGGATTCCCACATGGCCTGCTGCGGTTTAAATCCTGTACTAGGAGGCTTGAAATTCAAGCCATGTGCGTGTGCATGCATGTGTACCCAAAATCCTGAGAGGAGATGGAGGAGAAAGGATTGTGGTGTGGCTATACCCCTGGTGGGTGATTTCTTGCTTTCTGTCTCTCTGGTGAGTGTATATACCCGATAGCAAAAATCTCTCAAAGGAAAAAAAAAAGATACATTAAGTAATTAAATAATATAAATCTAGATAGAGATAAAGGCTCTAAAGAAAATAAAGCAGAGGAATGAGGGCGAGCACGACTGGGCAGTGTGGCCATCAGAGGCTTACCAGGAGCCATGCAAAAAGGTTCATCTAATTGTGTAAAGAATATGCTTATCTTTTGCACAGTCCGTCTCAAACCCATTCACTCTCAGTAAGGTTGCTTTCTTCTTATTCTCCTTCTCCTCTCACAGAATCTGATTAACCCACTTCGCCAAGCCCTAAGCTGCAGAATGAAGGTCAATTACCGGCTTTCAGGCAGAAGAGGTCAAGAGAAGACGAAGCCAATGGGGAGGAGAGCAAGAGTTCAAGGGCTTGGAGACTCAAGGATGAAGAGTGTGGTGGATTTTCATTGTTTACATACTCAATGCCCATTCCATTTCTTCTCACTTCCTAACAGCACCCAGATTCTCCTTTTGAATGTAACATCAAGGAGTTACAGTTCCTGACTGTCCTTCACCAATCAGCATAATGTCACTATGCCTCAGTGATTGGTTTAGGCCGTGAAGTGGTACATGTGAAGCCTGAGCCTTCCAAGGGATATAGAGGTGAAGTTCTCTCCCCTCCTGATGTAGACAGATGCCTGTAACCACAGGTCCATCCATGACCTTGGTGGAAGCCGTCCTGAGGACAAAGTCAAACACGTGGAAGTGGGCAGAGAGCAGAGGGGTAGAGCGAGAGTCCTAGTCGGACTGCTCCTGAAACCCATCTCACTGGCTTTCCCATGTGTGAACCCGTTCATCCATTCAAAACATTTTTAGACATAATACTCTAGACACATTCTTGGGGGAAATCCCAGGCCAGCCTTGGGTTTTCTTTCTTTTACTAACATGTAAGAAGTGATGGGTAGATGATTTAAACCCAGTCAGACTGCCTGGGTTCTGTTTCTGGTGTCAATCTTCAGACCAGTTCTTTACCTTCTCTGTGCATCAGTCTGCACATGTGAAAAGAAGATAATTCTAGTGCCTGCCTCATGGGTTTGTCATGAGAATTAAGTGGAACAGCATGAAGGGTATGACAAGGCCTGGCGGCATGTAGCAATGCTTGTGGATGCTGAGATGTGCCACCCAGAACACCCTTTAAGAACAGAGGACTCGTCGCCCCAGCTACTGGGAAGCTCAGTTGCCAGCCTTTGCAGGGTTGCCTTAACTGAAGAGAACCACGTTGCCCAGGGTCACAGTCTCCTTTTGGAAGCAGTCTGTATCCAATGGCTGATCTGTGAGGAATTATAACAGCCTCCACTTCTCATCGCAACTCAGGACAGCTCTGAAGTGCCATGCCAGTTCTGGGGCTCTTCACGGAGTTGATGGAAGCCTTTGGTAGGCTTCCCTTTTATTTCCACTTCTCCCTCTGCTTAATCTTGGCTCTTCTGTCTCCCTTTCAATAGTATTGATCCCAATAGCACAACCTTCGTGCTGGTTCTGAGTCTGCTTCCAGAAAACCCAGCTGACAGAACCTGTTAGCTGTTCTCATCAGCATCAGCATGGCCTCACTAACATCATCATCCAAAACCATCCTCACAGATAGTAAAAATAAGAGAAAGGGAGGGCCGGCCCCATGGCCTAATGGTTAAGGTAACTGGATCCCACATGTCTAATCACCTGGTATGAGTTCCTGACCCGGTGGCTTGAGAAATATGCAGAGCATGTGTATGAGCATGCCCCAGATCCCTACAGGATGGAGAAATGGAGGAGAACGAATTGTGGCATGACGACACCCCATTGGGGAATGCTTTCTCCCTCTCCTTCTCTCTGTCTCCCCTTCTCTGACTGCTGAGTGGATGTGCCCTCTGGAAAAATAGCACTGAGCAAATAAGCCAAGAAAGAGTGCAAAGAGGAGAGCTTTCCCTCTCTTTTAATAAACTTCTTGCTTTGTTATTAAAAAAAAAAAAAGTTGCACATACATGTTCCACAGCGTGATCTAGAACAATGACCTTGTGTTTTTTGAGGAGCTGGAGGAGTTATTAGGTAAAGCAGGACATCCTTCTCCAATCTGTCTTTACGTGGGTTGGAATTGACAGCTGGAACCTAAAGTAAACCTATGAATATGAGCTTGACCGACCAATGGTAAGATTTTAATTTCTCAATGGACTGTACCTCTTCCTCCCCTGGACTATTAATGCTGTAGTACAAGGTTACATTTTACCTTTCTGTTCAATTCCCTGCTGTGGCTGTTCTAGGAATTTGGCAAGCAGTTTTCACACACAAGCATAAATGCTCAGAAAGGGGCAGAGGCTCCTGTCTTTGTAATCGCTTGGGGGCAGGATTTAGCTTTCTCAAATCTGGAGAGAAGTCAGGACTGTGATATTTGCGATCTGAATCTGGGCCCTGACAGATACAAGCCAGGATTTAGCAAAAGCCTGGTTCAGAGCTTTATGCTAGAAGAGGATGCCTATTCCTGTCCTTGGGCTTTTTTTTTTTTTTTTTAAGAGGTTTTTGCTGTAGGGCATGTGCACTCGTCAGAAAGATGGAGAGACAGAAAGTGAGAAATCCGCAATCCTTTCTCCTCCATACTCCTCTTGGGCTCTTGGGCACGCATGCATGCACAAGCGCCGGACATGAGTTTAAGCCACTGGGTCCGGGACTCGAACCCTGGTTGACTACATGGGAGTTCAGCGACATAGCCATTATGCCAACTGCTGGTCCCTGTGCTTGGGCTTTTAAAGCCAAGTGATGGTGACACAGGAAAGCAACTGGCTGTGTGCTTTCTTCAGTGCTAATGGATCAAGTGAACACCTAAAACAAAGAGCCACCATGACCCTGTGTATGAAAGAGAGAGAGAGAGAGAGAGAGAGAGAGAGAGAGAGGCGGATTTCCACCCCAGAGGAGATAGACTGTTTCCAAACAATGCATTGCAAGGCATGTGCATCTGAGCCATACAGACCAGTGCTCAGATCCTGAGCTGAAGCCTAGCTCTACTACTGAAGAATGTGGTTTTAGGTGTGATGCACAGAGCTATGGGAATATCTGGGTAGAAGATGGTAATTCTGGGAAACAACTGTCTTGTGTTTGCTGTGATTTAAGAGTATTTGATTATGCTGTAAAAAATGAGAGAAATTAAGTACAGAAACAAGTAGTTTATGAGATAAACACAGGATAAGTGCTCTTTATCTATTGAGTGTAGATAAAATAATGAAAGAAATGAGAATGTTACTTATAGAGGAATGAAAAAGCCAACCAAACCTTTAATATTTATACGGCATAGACCATGTGTTCTCTGGACTGAAGCAATGTCATTCCTAAATTGGCCACCCAGTGGCAATAGTCACTATATCTAAGAAACAAGATAAAACCCATAGCTGGGACTAGGCTGTGGTGCAGTGGCAGCACAACTGGATCCATCTGGGAAAGGTTCTGGGTTCACATCTGGAGACTTCCCTGACACACACGTGGATGTCTGTGATCCGGGCCAGCAGAGACTGAGGGTGGAGTTTGGTGTGAGGACCCTGTTGGAAGTTTCCGATTGTCTTTTTCTCCCTCTGTTTCTTTCTCATGAAAGGAATAAATAAACTTAAAAAACAAACCATGGCTGCTCAGCAGATTAATTGGGTGCTGTAGTGTGACCAGGTGTGCCTGTCCCGAATCTTGCCAATAGAGTTGGCTTGTGCATGGACTCTAGGCACTTCCCAGCTGTTCCCTTTGCCTTGTCCCCCTCTGACCTTTGTAGCCACACCAGCAGGAGGGAAGGTATGTGGCAGAGAAGACAAGCTATGGGAATGGCATGTAACCAAGGATTCAGGTGGGTGAACCTCCCGCCTGCTCATACCTATCTTAAGTGTGTTCACCCGCCCCATCTCATCACCCTTGCTCTCGCTGCGCTTTAAGTTGAATAAATAAACAATGCGAGTCAAGCACCTTATTTCGGTCTGTGAGCCTTTCTGTGACTTTTGGGGGTAGCCTGGAGTATAGTTGGAGGACATTCCTCAAGGTAACTTCCCAACTTCCTGGAAACAAAGCCAGAGACAGGCTCAAGTTTAGATTGTGGGTTGAACACACTGGGTGCCTGTGAACAACCTTGATTCTGGCTACCTGGGAGGTGAGGGGAGGATCATGGCATGGGGAGATCCTTTGAGGGTACACCCACCACCTCTTCAATGAACAAATGAATGAATGAACTGCATTGTCCTGAAAGAAAAGGACCAATTCCACATTCCCAGGAGGTGAGCCTCACCAAGCCAGGTTGGGGGTGGGTAACAAGTTCAGCAGTTAGCCAAGGCTGGTGGGCTGCAGAGGGCTGATTAATGCAGAAGTTGTAGAACTGAGCTGGCTTCATGTGAGGTTACCTGATCTCTAAGTAATGCCAAGTCTTTAAGCTTCAGGCTTTTATCTGAGGAGTTATGGCCACCTGGTCTGCTTCAGGCTAAAGACTCTTGGCGTCAGACAAAGCCAGCTTCCATGTAGTGATCCATCCTCAGTGTGGAGGCTTGATTGTCAAGTGAAACCTTAAGGGCAGTGATTCTTTAAATTCAACACACGCAAAACTACCTGGGGTTCTTTCTAACTGTACAGATTTCTGGTCTCCACGTGCAGGGGTTCTGCTTCAGTAGGCCTGAGGCAGTTGGGAGGGCTTTGAATTTTATATAAGCACTTAGGGAACTGGGAACAGGTGGCCCAAGGATCATAACAGGGGATAGGGCAGGTTTAACATTTATTTATTCAGGAAACATAATGGCCCTGTAAAATAGGTAATAGACAGATAAAACTAGGCTTTAAGGGATTAACTAAACTGCCCAAGGTCACAGCCAGTAAAAGGCAGAATTGGTATTCCAATCCCCTTAACTATAGCTGGTGCCTATTTAAGATCCAGAGAAAGAATAGTAGATGAACTAGCTGACTGCACACATACGCAGAGTTATCACCTCACATTCCCCAATACAAGTCCCTGTTTCAGCCAAACCGATGGTATCAGTTAGGAACAGGCTAGGTTATGCTGCAGTAACAAGTGAGCCACCACTTTCATTCCTTGCTCACGGTGTATGTCCATTGCAGGGACCTTGGTTTACTATAGCCAATCAGGGATCCAGATTGATGGAGATTTTATCTTGACATGTATTTCTATCACTGCAAAAGTAAGGAAAGGTGGACACTAGACCTTGAATCATGCATTTCTGCCTGGAATTGAATGACATGGGGGTCACGATGTCTCACACTTCATTGGCCGACTAAATCCCATGGCCATGGCTGAGTTTATTGGGGTGTAGAAATGTAACCAAAATTATAGTCCACCATGTCAACTCACTCGTAAGACCCTGAGTGTGCCTTCTCTGCTGTCTTTGCTCATGCTATTCCATATGCCCAAAATATCCTGTCCCTGCTTCTCAGCCACACTACCTGAACCCCACATCTAATTCAGCATCACCTGCCATCAGCTCCAGGCACCCTTTCTCAGCCCACTCAGGCTGGATTAGTTGTCCCAGGCTCCAAGACCCTGGAGGATCCTGGGCTTCTTTGTTTCTTTCTTTTTTAGTTTTACTACAGGGCACATGTACTCATTGGAGAGAGACAGGGAAAGTGAGAAATCACCCTAATACCGTGCTGCAATCCCTTCTCTTCCATTCTTCTCTCAGAATTTTGTATGCAAGCACACCCCATATGTTTTTCAAGCTGTTAGGTCTGGGCCTTGAACCACATAGTCGGCCAGGTGGGATGGCCACCAGCCACCAGCCACCAGCTGGCCCAATGCTGGGCTTATTTCTATCACAACAGATGTCCTGTTGCATTTCAATGGTCAGTTTCCTTGTCCATGCCCCCAGCCCACTGCACTTGGGCTCCCAGGCTAGCCCCTGCAAGGCAGGAGATTTGCTGAAGCCCAGGGGTGGAACAGTAGGAGGACTGAGAGCCGAATTTGGAGTTTTGTAGAACTGTCTTCCTTTTTCCCATAGGAACAGAATGTCTTGGGCATTAGAAAATGAGGAAGAGGAAGGTGAGCATTTTGTGACTTCAGGATGAGCCACTGCAGCTGGGGTAGGAGCCCCCCCCGCCCCCCGGCAAAAGGAGTGGGCTTTTCCCAAGGCCTCATTGCCCCATCATGGAAAGACTCACCTCAGACTTGGGTTAGTCACTGCCAGGAGCCAGCTGTGTCACTGTGGGTGAACACCAAAGGTCCCAGGCGATGACATTCTGTGGCTGGGGAAAAGATTTGCTGTCCTAGCCCCCGATGCCCATGAAAGGGCCTTGTTAGCAAAGGGACAGGTGTGTATGACTGGAGTCCTGTCATGCCACAGCCTGGGTCCTTGTCAAGGACAGGAAATTGAGGCCTGTCTGGCAGGGGCATTAATCTGACTCAGATGTGGTGGTGGTGGGTCTCCTGTTGGGTGTGGGGACCTGGGGTAACCACGGAGGAGAGGCTCAGGGGCCCAGAATTGTGCATGGGACTGAAGTACAGGGGCCTTGGTCTGCATAAGGCGACTCCATCACCCCCATCCGCTGTGGAGGCTCGGTCTTTCTACCTCACTTCCTTTTTTTTTTTTTTGGAGAGGTTTTTGCTATAGGGCGCGTGTGCTCGCCAGACAGAGAGA